ATTGGATTTTTGCCCTTTTCCAATGTCAAACTGCCTTGTGGTTTGACATTGGTTTGCCTCTTCTTTGCAACATCCCTTTGTGTGGTTTTTGGCTCTGTTTGCTATCCTCGCCCAGGAGGGGAAACACACATTTTTCACACTCGCGACATATTTTCCGCATGTTTTGTTGGGCATGCATTCCTGCGAGCAAAATGGTACGTGCATGATAGAATTGAAACATTTCACAACAACCTGCCCCAACACAGTTGATTAATTTCGAAGTCCCCCATGGTGTTTATGTTCAGCTCGTTGGGCCAGGTCCGCATGTTCAGGAAAAAAAATGGGATCAAAAATGCGTCGTCAAAATGTGCATTGCCCACATCTGCTCTTAAATGACCGAGTATCAATTTTGGGCACCCGAAGACGGACGATTCTGCATCCGTTGTCATTTTCTTAAAACAAGAAACGAACGAAAAGGGGCTAGGGAAAAACCACAATGAGGTTGATTCCAGGCACCTGTTTCATGGATGATTCAAAAAAATGGAACGACCGTCAATTCCAGTGAAACTGCAAATCGTTTCTTCTAATGTATGACAAACTGTTTTACATGCAACATGCTGAAACATTGAATGCATTGAAAAAAAAAACGCAAAAGGCGAAACCCAGTGCATGAAATCAAATTGCCTGTGAACACCAACCATTTGCCAGTTTTCCAAATGGACATGTTTGTCCACATGCAGTGATCACCATTGATACATTCGCATCTATCACGTTTTTTTCGGTTTGGAAAAAAAAAACTCTGGCAACCGCCTCCCCAGCCAAATTTAGTGAAAACATGTTTGAAAACCAGCGCATGAAACAAAGCAAAGCGAAATGACCTGGGGACCCCAAAACTGACTGCAACGCGATGGCAGGCACCGTTTTCAATAGTATGGAATGAACACGTTTTTTTCCGCAACAACAAATTCCGCATGTTCAATTGTTTGTTTGACATGTTTTTTCCGGGCGTTTTTTTTACCATAATTTCAGGCCCATTCTAGACGTTTCCGACAACAGCATGTCAACACGTGTCCTAGCATGACTGAAGCGAATTTCCGTCCCAGATTTCCCTTAGGCGAAACACAATACTGAAACATACAGAAAAATCAAATGGAACTCCGGTTTCGCTGTAATTTTGGGTGTTGGATTTTTCTGCGTCAACATTTTGTATGCGTACGCAAAATATATATATATATTTATTTATTTTTTTATTTATTTATTTTTTATGCGTTTGTTATCACATATCATGTTCCATGCGGTTTTTTTAAACATTTTTTGTTAAAAGGTGTTCCAATGAATATTTTTCCCAAAACAAATGCCAACCGCACATCAAACCACACGCGGCCCAAACGAGTGCAAATTCGAAATGGGCACAGGTGTCCTTCCTTATTTTGTTTTTGCCGTTTTCCACCAAATGCACATCACCCAATTGAAAGATGTGGATATGCATGTGCCAAAATATTTACGTGTGAATGTAATTGAATTCACATACTATGTAGACGCACGTATGTTTTTAAATACAATGGCACATGAAATTGCACGTTCATGTGTCCTTCAAAACCAATTTTGTGTCATTGTATAAGTGGACGTGCGCAGACAAAAAAAAATGTTAACAAACGAACGAATACATAGTTTCATATTCAGTGCAATTACATTCATACTCGTGTTCATATCCATAATCATGCAATATTTGATCTACATTAATTATTGTGACAAATACAAAAAATCAAAAATAAAATGAACTATATATATATATATATATATGCACACACGTTACATACATTACATACGTTACATACATTACATACATTACACAATTGCCATATATACATAACACAAATTATTCGCTGAACCACTTTCAAACACAGCAGCAAGAGAGCATGTTTTCAAGCTGGGGGTTGTCTCGCAGCCGTCTTGGCTGTGGGTCGGCCAAGTGGAATGTTGATATAGTTGATGTCATTGTCCAGGTGGTTGATGGGGAGGTCGGTGGGCCAAGAGGAAACCGTATATTTGGGGCAACCCTCCCGCCCACCACTTGGACCGAAAGTTGCCAATGCAGGCGCATTGTCTTCATCTTCTTAATGCAACGTGACATGTCACTTCTGCTTATTCGCTGAACCACTTTCAAACACAGCAGCAAGAGAGCATGTTTTTGACTGTCTCGCAGCCGTCTCCCCCATCTTTGCAATCTGCGGGATGATCTCCAACAAATGACTTTTTGCAGGCACTGAAACATTTTCTGCACAGACCAGCAACGGTACATCTGTAATTCCTCTGGACGGAGGATCTGCTATGTTCCTTGCAATCCAAACCATTGCATGAAGTTGACATTCCAATTTTGCAAACGCTTCTGCCATAGCATCCACACAAGCATTGTCAGAAACTCCTTTGAGCAGTGAGAACTTTGTTCCCTCATTGTCGACAAACAAAATCACACGTTTGCTACCAAACAAGGGTTGCCATAGGTTTCTTGCAAGTAACGCAGCTAGCGTTTCGACCTCGAAGATGATTTGCTTCTTATCCTTCTCGCCCAGCAAAGTTCTGAGCTCCTCATCCACTGCCAGAGAAAAGAAGTATATAAGTATATAAATTTTTCCACTCGCAAACTCAACTCCACCAAGACCGCGCGGCCATGTAGGATGGTCTTTCTCGTAACAGGCATCGGTGAAAACAACTACGTTCTCTGAACTCAAAGCACCAACTTCTCTGGGAACGTTTCTCACCAACAAGTCATGAAACATGCGCAAGAAAATTTTGTCTTTCTCAGCCAGTAAAGATTTCCTCCCTGCCGAGAAGTTTGCAAGGACACGTAAACACCTCTTACCCGTTCGGCCGAAAAGTTGCGACTCTGCAAATTGCACGCGCCCCCTCAAGCGCTGGGCCTGTTTATTCAACAAGCGACCATCCTCAGTTACCTTCCGCAGCTCTTCACAAAGTTCTGCACACCTAGATGCCTAGATGCTGTATTGCATACCAAGGCTTTGCCAGTCGATGCCACACCCATGTCCAAAAATACCCCAAGGGTTGAGCTTTATCACCTTCTTCCGCAAAGATCCATCCAAGCAACTTGAACAAAGCAGCCACAGTTCTTTCTGTGCTGCCCACTAATTTGGGTCTGCTGAATGAGATGAAATCATCATAAAATGATGTCCAAATGATGCAGCAACCGGCCACTCCCTTCCACCGCAGAGGCCTAGCTAATCGTAGGAAGGAGGTGGACACTTCTGACAGCCCCAAAGGGCAAAACCAAACTCTTCAAAAAACCGGCCTTCTTCCTTCGGGGATTGTAAACTCGAAGGTAGCCAAACTGTTGTCTTCCATGGTGGGGTCCCCAGTCCGAAGTAGTCTACAGAGGGGGGAATGGCAAATGGGCGTGTGAGCGTGGGCGTGTGAGTGCAAGGTTAGTTAAACGCAATGGATCATCCAACGACCAACTGTCAAAATTGAAACTGCCGAAAACTGCCTTCTCTCAAAAAACTGTCATTCCAAAAAACCGACATCTGAAATAAACATGTGCAAGTCACAAACTGCATCTGACTGAATGAATGAAAACGAAAGCCACTCGCACCAACTCTTTTTGACCAGGGGGGATTGGACATCCTGCGCTGTCTGATTGCGGTCTCTCTCAAGTCCAAGCACGCTGGAAAAGGTCCAGCAAATTGCATTGCATTGAAAACATCGAAGAAAATTCTATGCATTTCTCTCCATTCATCTCTGAAACATTCATCTCTGAAACACCTGCTGCAAGTCGTCACTGGTCGCGACGCATTTCGAATGGGGCATCTGTCTCATTGCCCCGGTAAGGCCAAGTGATATGGTTTGCTGACAAATCGTCTAAAGTATCGTGGAGATCCACGGCCACAGCAAAGCATGTACTGCGTAGTACGCAGAAGTCCCGTATTGTAAGAAAGCTAAAGAACATGAAGTTTTGGCGTTCGCCCATACCAAAAATTGTGCTCATCAACTGCAGCTCGAACAGTTGCTCGTAGCGATCTAACTGTTCCTCCGTTGTAACATCAACTCGAAACTGTTGAAGTTGATTCATCACCCAGGTGCGGGCGGGTGGGCAGCAAAATTTCTGCCTTTGAGCCAGTTCTCCCAAATGAATCCTTTTCAAATTATGTCCATGAATTTCAGCTTCCGGTGGAACTCGAAGACTGTTGTAAATAAAGCAGGTGACAAAATTTCAAACATCTTGCTCTGAAAAAGGTGAGCAGCGAAATTCAAAGTGACGATATCGCAAATTAAATAACCTCGAAGAATTCAACTGCATTGATTTGTTTGGTTGTCTTGTTGCGTCCAAGTTTGGGTTCAAGAAACTCATCCACGCAACAAACAGGCGACGTATTTGCAGGCGATCGCAACAGACCAACCAACAAGCAAAACCAAGAACCAACCCGGCACACACACACGCACACGCAACGCCAGCCCCACCCCTGCAAACAAACAACTGAGGCACGCCTAAGCAGCTTGTCTTCCATGGTGGGGTCCCCAGTCCGAAGTAGTCTACAGAGGGGGGAATGGCAAATGGGCGTGTGAGCGTGGGCGTGTGAGTGCAAGGTTAGTTAAACGCAATGGATCATCCAACGACCAACTGTCAAAATTGAAACTGCCGAAAACTGCCTTCTCTCAAAAAACTGTCATTCCAAAAAACCGACATCTGAAATAAACATGTGCAAGTCACAAACTGCATCTGACTGAATGAATGAAAACGAAAGCCACTCGCACCAACTCTTTTTGACCAGGGGGGATTGGACATCCTGCGCTGTCTGATTGCGGTCTCTCTCAAGTCCAAGCACGCTGGAAAAGGTCCAGCAAATTGCATTGCATTGAAAACATCTCGAAGAAAATTCTATGCATTTCTCTCCATTCATCTCTGAAACATTCATCTCTGAAACACCTGCTGCAAGTCGTCACTGGTCGCGACGCATTTCGAATGGGGCATCTGTCTCATTGCCTCTCCTTCAGAAACTGATGCCCAATCACCACGCTGTCTTGCTGGCCAACTTCTGTCTTTTGCTCTGTTTTCCTTCAGCTGGCTTCACATCAACCTGTGTTTCACGTAAACTCATAAACTCATTGCGGGAGGCACACAACTCCCGGAAAAAACTTAACGGTAAATCATCCAAAGAAAACTCCACCCGGTTCTTCACATCAAACAAGCTATGGTCGCCATTGGTGATGGCATCTGCTGGAACATTTTCTTCTCGCGGCCTCCAACGAAGCCTCATGCGCACACCGTTCGCCAAGAGCTGTGATGACACCTGCATATGAACAGCCAAGAGAGGCCATTTCGTTGACATATTCTTTTCTTGTAAAGCCTGATTGGATTTATTGTCGGTACCACCTGTTATTGCCATCCTCAAGTTCTTTGATCCACCACCCTTCTCCAAATGTCCAAACGCAAAAGAAGCAGCGTAGGAGGCCAGTAACTCCGCCGCTGTTGAGCACCACTGTGATGCGCCATCTTCTTTGAAGAGCATCGGAAGTTGCTCCGGGAAAATTTCCAAGCTGAACCATCTTGCCAATTTAAGGTTCTCCACACCATTCTCAGTGGACCAACCAGCCAAAACAATCCTGCCACTCTCACACTTCGCATCTGTTCTGAAAGCCTCTTTGGGCGAAAACCAAGGAGCTGTCGCATTAACCCAGTGCCCATGTCTCTGAAGTTGTTCCTTCAAGAACCTCAAAGTGACGTAAACCAGCACGGGCACCCGCATCACCGTGCCTCTTGCAAGAACAGAGGACCAAGCAAAAAGGGGTGCCATGAATGGCTTCAACCACGTTACTACCCTTGCCACAAAGGATAGTCTGCCAGTGAATTCTATGAATGCCCGGCCCTGCACCATCCAACCGTTCCGCTCAGCTCTCTTGGTTGAGATACCAGCCACATGTCTGTCATATTCCAAATGGTACCCAACATAGTCCACTGAAAGACCCCCTTTGAACTTCCTGTAAGAAAAGGGGGTTCCAATAACCTCATATGCCAGAATGCTCAACCACATGGTGACAAATTTATCAGGCCCTAGGCATAGCAAGTGAAGATCGTCCACGTAGGCCAGCTGCATAGACCAGCGTCGTCCCAGAACTCGGAGGACCCATCTTCCCACGCAACCAAATAGCCTAGTCCACCAATAAGCTGCACTTGAGACCCCAAAGGTCCCCACACAATTCAACCAAAGTGTGCGCGATTCAGCGCTGGATCTGCATGCCAGCCTGGCCCAGTCTGCTTTCCTAATCAGTACACATCTATGCGCCTGTGCAATGTCTGCTGACAAACAAAATGCTGACTCCTTAGATTCCGCTGCCATGGCAACAAGCTCAATCACTTCCTCAGGGCCCGGAACTTCCAGGCGATCAAGTATGCGAATCTTGTTGTTCAGGTTTATGCCATGGGTCCCGTCATGAAGAGGTCTGATGGTGTTGTCGGGCTTCTGGATAGCACCCATTGCTGCAACCAAGACTGCATCTGCGCCAAACTCCTGCTTCGCTTCCGCAAGAGTTGTAGGAACCATCCTACCAAGCTGTTCGTCTTTTCTGAAGTGATCCTCAAGTTGATCGGAGGACATCTCTGCAGTTGCATAGTTTTTCATGTCCGGCTGAAACTCTGTGATGTCCAACTGTCTGAACTTCTCCCGCTTTCTGAAGACCTGGGCTGTCCGTGGGAGTTCACGTTCCACTCCAACAGGGACTCCCTTTGAGAAACACTCTTCACCCTGCACCAAAATCTCCCAATCTGGATCCCCAAGTTTGCATAACGACTCGGCCAGGAGATGAAGGTAAAATGGTTGCCTGTACGGACAAGACAGCAAAGTATCTTCCTCTCCTGGCCTCAACAGTGATGCTATCTTACGCCTCAATCCCTGTAGCTTGTCCTGATCAAAGGGTGAGCTGAGGTGATGACCAAGAGCCAGCTTGAATGCCTCCTTGCGCAAGTCTCCTATTTCTTCTGTAAGAAATTCAAGTAGTAAAGATGCCACCTGCTCTGCATGGTTTGTCGCATCTTCACTGGCCAACTTGTTTCTTGCACCCGGCATCCAACGTCCCGGAGAGCACAGTCCAAAACCGTCTGTAAATTCTCTGTGGCAGTTCTCATACCTGCAAATAATAGGCTGTCCAAAACAAGCTGAAGTTGCCGGGTCAAAGGTTTCTGCATCTTGCTGTCCCAGGTCCTCTGGGCTCCCTGGTTGCTCATCTCCAGACGATATGACTATCTCTGATGCTGCTGCTGCGTCCATTGTTATTGCTGGAGTTGGGTTTTCCCCGAAAGAAGAAGGAGATGTTGAAGGATGAGGGCCAACCTGCACTGTTGATGTCTCTGCTGACATCACCGTAGCATGATCTGTAGGAGAGGCTTGAAATGTTGAAGAGGAAGTCGATGCCGCTGAAGCATGCTCCCCCTGCATCGCCATGCAAAGTGGCAACGCTGACACCACATCCAAAGCTATAGCCTCACACAAGGCCTCCGGGTAGGCCGCTGAGCCAGCTGTTTTCCATTGTTGCAATTCAATGTTGAAGCCCAAAAGGGGCTCATGAAATTCATGTGGACATCGGCCCAATGGCCCTGCATAAAAACCATTGTCATCAAACACCGGCCATTGTAGCCCATATTGTTGGCAAGAAGGTAGGTTTGACATCAGCCTCGTGGGTTTGGAAGTGCTTGCCCCATAAACGCATTGATGTATCGCCCATGAAGCTGCTGATGTCAACTCTGCCAACTCCCTGATCAATGGAAGTTGCCAAATGGAGGCTGGGATATCCCCTGCCGCTGTCTTCCCTAAATCCTCCGGGTGTTCACACCAGTAAAATTTGCTTTGCAAATGCATTCTTCTTGCCGCTTCTGCACATTGGAATATAAAGAAATTTGCCGTCATGCTTGAAATGATGTCGCGCCCGGCTGAAAGTGGTGCAGGGCGGTGACCACAAAAGCACATCTACTTTGCCCTGGTCAATGTCTGCATATAAATCGTCCCACAGCTTTGTCTTTGACAAATCATGTGAATGATGCTGTTCCAAATCAAGCTCTCTTAATTCAAGGTGAAACTGATCCTTGGCCAGCCGTTGCAAGTGTTGTCTAATGTCACCGCGCCTTGATGCGCCCGCAAAAAGATACACCACTCGCAATACTGGCAGCTCTCCGTCCGTTTGTCAGGTTTTGTTCGGTGGTGCCTCCGCAGCTCCTTTCTGCATCATGCCCTGGTAGTGCTGCCACATCGGATGCGATTTGCCGCATCCACGAACTCTCAAACTGCAAATGTGAACACGGTTGCAACCTCCTGTGCATCCCTGCGCATTGTAAGCAAAGCAGATCTGTTTGTTGTCATCTGTAAATGAAACCAAAGAGTGCTCAGAGTTTCCCTTGCCTGCTCTCTGTTTCGATTTTCCTTTGCTGCCCTTCTTTCCACCTCCCTTGTGCCACTTTTGTGGCGGGCCTTGGTAGTTGGACCCTTCAGTCCTCCTCCAACTGCGGTTGCCTCCAAATGAAGGCTCCTCAGATCTGCCTGACCTCCCTTGCAAGGCAATGGGACTTGTGAAGTACTGCTCTTTGAGTTGTGCATCTGAGCACACCTCTTTCAAACATTCTCTCAAGGCTCTACCCTGTCTAAACGCCGTCTTGATGGCCTCCTTGCGTAGTTCGTATTCATATGACAACATCACGCTCCAAGGTGGTCGCAATGTGACCATCTCTGAGCTCCCCGCTGCTGCACCTGGTCCTGGAATTTTCAAAAGATAGCACTTGTCACCTAGCAGGTAGTTGGTGTACTTCATCCAGTCATCAGGTGTGAGCCCTTGCATCATTGGATTGTTGCGGTACTTGGCAGCAAGGTAACACCATGTATTGCCTTCAACTCTGAGGATGGTGCGGAGTTCCTCAGTGCCCTGTGGGAGCTGACCCTTCTGTCTGCTCTTGACAATTCTCACATGACCTGCACTATCCAGAGTTGTCTGAATGCCCATTGTCTTTGCAGTCTTTTTACTGGTTACTTCGGTCAGGTAGGAAGCCATAGGTTCGTGAGCTTCCAACTCCTCGATCTTCGTTGACAAGTAATCATCTGAAGGCTCAAAGGTCTCTTCAATTTCACCATGGGTTGCTACATATGCTGCTCTCATTGCCGCTCGATCTGTCTGGGTGACAGGCCGCGTGACGCCCAAGAGACGTGCTTCGGCCTTCAACTCTGCTTGTTTTGATGCATACTCCTTAGAGGCCTCCCAAGCAGCTACCACTCCAGCTACGGCCGCACGATTCTGCAAGTTATTCTCTTCGACCTGCAAATCATCACGCAGTGCCTGTCTGACACCTTGCCTTGTATCTGCAATTGCACTGAAGCGTCTAAGTTGCGTGAAAACTTGAGTCAAATTGTATTGCAGTGCAAGTGGCACTCCGTTCTCCTGCAGTATGAAGGCCAAATCGCCTTCCACCCGGTCATGGATGTAGGCCTTCATGTCAGCCTCTGTTATCCCTGCCGGTGCATTCATGGCTGCTAAGTCTCTCAGCTTTCTGAGCCTACACAGCGCTGGGAATCTCAAACTTCTTCCCACGCGTCTTGAAACTGTTTCTCAAAATTTTCCAAGCTGATCAACCTAACTTCATGTCATTCCTGGTCTTTTCTCCAGGCTTGTCTGTGCAATCTCTAACATGACATGAGTGCGCTCGACTTCAATCTGAAAATGCAAACTGAAAACGCAAAACCTGAAACTACCTCCAAACATCCAAAACACAACTCGGCACCACTGAACTGCGCAGCAAGTTTTCCACTTTTGCGGAACAAGTGTGCAAATGAAACATATGCTGAATGCTTTGCCTTCAGTCACTTGAGTCGGAACTGTCTGAGCTTGACGACGCCTCTTCTTCACCCTTCAACTTTGGTTTGCACAACTTGCAAACTGCGTCAGCTACATCACCAGTAATGCTGTAAACAGGTTGAGTGACAAGACAACGTTCCTGACGCACCGCACATAATTTTGAAACATGCAAGCGTCGAAAAAATGTCTTCCGAGAAATGGTGATGAAATAAGGTGCTTCTGGCAAGCTGTCATCATTTTGAGGATCCGGCTCTCCCTGAGTTGGAGCGTTTTCCATTCTCGCAGCAACTGGTCCTACCTCCAACAAAGGAAAGGTTCCTCCCAGGTGCCAAGCTCCTAAATTCAATGACCAAACCATGACATTGTGCCTACGTGCAGTTGTGATGGGTCCTGCATTGACCCTTACTGCAAAGGCCTTGACCCGTTCCATGAGCTCCTCCTCGACCAAGCCTGGTGAAGGGGTTCCTTCAAGCAGGAAACGGCAAACATCTTTTTGGACCCGATGAACAACTTGTCTTGACGTCAAAACATAATCTTGAGAGCCATGCTTAGAATAACTCCACCTACCAAGATAGTCACGACTCTCCTTTGGGATTTGTGCTGCAGCAGCCCAGGACGGCAACGTATGTCGTGCACTATGTCCAGTCCAAAATGAAGCCATCTCTGGTGAAATCAACAAATTACCATGGTTGAGTGCCAGGCCGCCACCACGTCGCACCACCGTCGGCAAAGTAAGGAGAAGCCTCCTCAACATGGTCGCCAATCCTTCAGGTTCCAAGAAATTCGGCCCTGATTTCATCCAATCATCTGAAAATGAAACTGCAAAGAAATCCCTCTGAAAACTCACTTCATCATCTTCTAAAAGATCCATGCCCAATTTCAACCAGTCCACACCAGTCAAACTGACCTCACGTGCAATGAAACCGTGCAACTCCCCTATAGGCTTGCCAGGTCCACTAGTCTTAGTCCGGCGCAAAATGAACTTGAGGCCCAGCTGTGAAAGTTCCAATGAAGACGGATCGACGTTCTGTAAATCATCACAACGCATCGTTCCCCAGAGCAAAAGCAAAAGCACAAATGAATAAAACCTCTGTCCAATCGGTGCGGTGAGATTATCCAAAACCAACTCTGAGCTCATCTCGATTGCTACTGTGTACAAGTCCGCCTGTCTCTTTGGCGGTGCATCACGGCTGAGCTCTGCTGTCCAAGCTTTCACTGTCTCCAGCCACAACCGGTCTCCAGAAAGCCTATGTTCCGTGGGCACCTGCCCCACCAACTCAAGCAACGACAATGTGGTATGTATGGACATGGGAACCGTCTTACCCATTGGCTGCACCTCATTACGCTCCTCAAGATACTGAATCAGCTGTGCCACACTTTCAGGCCATGGTTTGCCTGTTGTAACCACGAACCAGTCCCTGACACGCTTCCAAGCTTTTGCACGATTGCGCAGTGTCTTTGACCGCCGCGCACCAAATGCTCTCACCCATGCCGTGTTGACATTTGCCAGACCATTGACGGAAGCCACAGCAGGAAGTTTTGATTCAGTGATAAACTCAGCCAAGACCAAAGCCCATTTCTTCTTCGCTAATTCCTCTGCATCTGACCTTGCAGTGCTGCTCGTTTTTGCCCTCTTAGCCAAACGACTTTCCAAAGCGGCCAAGCCCAAAGTGGGACTACCTGTAACAATGCTCTCATAGTTATCTGCCATCGTTGACACTAGACCAGACTGGTCCAACTGCTTCCCAAACTCAAGCCTATCCCTGACACCAAACAACTGCATCCTCTTCAACCTACGGTGAGAGGTTGCTTGCCAGTCGAACAATGCCTGCGCAATGGCCTCACGGCGGGCCACACCATAGCTATTTCCCAGTGCATCCTCGACCAGGTTTCTCGCACCCTCCAGATCATCAAATGCAGTTGCAACTTGTAATGCAGTTGGAAAACAAGGCTTCAATGCCTTCACCAAAGAAGAATCAATCTTATCCAGTTCAGTCCAGTCATCCATGCGCGCTGTAAGTCCCTAGCCTAAATCCAGCAAAATTTCTGCCTTTGAGCCAGTTCTCCCAAATGAATCCTTTTCAAATTATGTCCATGAATTTCAGCTTCCGGTGGAACTCGAAGACTGTTGTAAATAAAGCAGGTGGCAAAATTTCAAACATCTTGCTCTGAAAAAGGTGAGCAACGAAATTCAAAGTGACGATATCGCAAATTAAATAACCTCGAAGAATTCAACTGCATTGATTTGTTTGGTTGTCTTGTTGCGTCCAAGTTTGGGTTCAAGAAACTCATCCACGCAACAAACAGGCGACGTATTTGCAGGCGATCGCAACAGACCAACCAACAAGCAAAACCAAGAACCAACCCGGCACACACACGCACACGCAACGCCAGCCCCACCCCTGCAGACAAACAACTGAGGCACGCCTAAGCAGCTTGTCCTTTTTCGCTCAAACCAACCTGCCGGTATGCACTCGCCAAATCAAAGGTGCGTACCGACAACGCACTGTCCAGTTTTGCTTCATCACACATGCTGAACCACACCATCAAAGTAGCACATGCAACGAACGTTGTCTCAGGCCAAATCGCCTTGACAAAGGCCTGTCAACAGGCACCTGCTCCTCCTCCAACGGACCCACAAGCCATCCTTTTGCAACCTCATCCAATGTCTTCTGCCAAACAATTTCATCTATGTCAGCGTCGCCCGAGCCTCGGACATCATTCACTGCAACTTTGCGCACACGAGCTGCACTCGCACAGAGTTCCTCCTCAGAGATCAAGGCCGGCTCAAACTTGCCTGGCAGCATGTGTGTTAGGGGGGTTATCCCCTGTCAAATCAAAACCAAAGCGCAACTCGTCAACGACACCCAAATCCGCAAAACCAGTGGCTGTGAGCATTTCACCAAAAAGCAATATGCGTTTGTCCTTTACAGCATGGGCCACATCCTGATGCATTTGGGATTTGAGTGCCTCCTCCTCTTGATCCAGTTGTATTGCACGCTTGGTCCACTTTGCAAAAAAAATTCACTGTGGCTCGAGCAATGGTGGCTTCATCATTGCTGACTGTAAATTTCAAGGCATCCAAAAGCTGTTGAGGCACCGCTGAGTCAAGCGACAACGGATGTCTTGCTTTGATTGCTTGCTCCACAAACTCCTCTTCATTCCAGAAAATTCCACAGAGCTTCAACACAACAACGCAAGGAAATTTGAACATGCCTGCAGGAAAAACAACTTGTACGTCTATGCCATGCACCACATACGACACTGCTCCCGTATGCAATCTACTAAGGACTGCAAGCTCTCACACCCCATTTCAACTTGTTGCAGGACTTTGGCATGTTTCACAAAACCATGACTAGAAGGCCACACGCATTGGTCAAGGAAAAAGATTGTAATGCATTTGGATTTGTATTCAGGCACAACTGGAGCAATTTTGTTGGTGGCTGGTTGATTTTGTGCCAATGTGCGCGCAGCCAGATTGATAGGTACCTGCTTTGTTGCTGTTATGCCACGTCTTTGCAGAGCGATAAACAAGGTGGGAGCGATTTCGTCGCACAGTGCGGTGGGATAGTGGACTTCCAATGCGGTTGCAAAGACGCGTTTGCCGTTCTTGAACTATAGCCCCATGGTGCATGTCGGTGCTGCCCATCGCATACACCGCTGATTTGCTCTACTTCTGCAAAGTTTGCTACCAGTTTCGTCCATTTGGGTCTAGCAGAACCGTATGCACATGCTTGGTGACATTGGATACAGTCTCGTTGCTGGGGTTCACGATCCATCCAAGGCGTTGTATCCCAGTACAGTGAATCCCTGGGGTTCTCACATATGCACAGCTTGCCAAGTTCGCAGCAAAGGTCATAAACAGTTGCAGAAAAATCGTGCAAAATATTGCTCTGCTCCACGCGCAAAAAATCATAGCCTTGTAAATAAGGCAAACCATCAGGGAAATCTTTTGAACGTAGAGGTTGAGGCGTCAGTGGGCCATCATCTTTCTGTATATTTCGTGCAGCACTTGCTGTTCCGCACGGAGGAGCCAAGAAGACAACCTTAACTTGGGGATTTCGAATCCAGCTCAGCACCAGCAGTTGGTTTGAAACCAAAGTGAGATCCAGTTTGGTGACAAGCGCCTTAGGCGCTTTAGGCATGGTTTTGTCGACTGCAACCACATCCAGCCCTATAATCGTTCAACGAAGCGCTCAATCCAGCAGTTCCACAAAATAGTTCCAGGACCACAACATGTTCCCTGGACATGTCTGAATTAGGCTTTTGTTTGCAGAAGCTTCATCAGGGTGACCATCTTTGTAGGCATGCGCTTTGAAGCACCCACCTTTGAAACAAACATGTCGTCCTTTAGGGCAAGCACCGCCAGTTGGAGCCTTGCTGCATTGACTAAGGTTGAAGTCAAAACAAATGGGACGATTTTTGCCGTCCCTGCCCACACAGCCGCTGTAGCCCTTGGGGGCTGCATTGGGCCCAAAGCTCTTGCCGCCTTTTCCATGCTTGCTCTTCCCACGGCCTTTGGGCCCACCATGCGTGGGATATGGCTCGGAGTAGCTCTTCTTTGGGGCATGCTCACTGGTGCTGGCCTTGGGCAGCGGCAGCAAGTGAAATGCCGCGTTGTAGCCTTTCAGCGCATTCTCCAATGCAAGGTCCAGCGGTCTAACATCGTTAGCGTCAGGACTAGGAAGGAAAACACTTCCCTGTCTGCACGCATCACCTGGGCCAGAGTCACCGCCTGGAAGGCTGGTGGTGGTTCCAAAGAAAGATGTCGCAACAAACGCTCCACATAGAGCTCATGAGCCCTGAAGCTGATCAGGTTCGCAAAGTCATAGGCAATACCTCGCCTAGGCAAGCATGAGGCCAAATTGTAAGTGGTGGAGACCGTCTCGTCTGGCACCGTCTTTGACTCTTTGATGCTCAAGCTGCCTGCATCAAGTTTGAGCTTTTTGTCGGTGCGCCCGGAGGTGATCTCGTTCTCCCGGCTGGTGCACCTGGCTGGCTCTAGGTACTTCAAAACTCTTGTCTCAAATTCATGGGCGCATTCATCCAAGAGTGAATGGGAAGGCTCACCAGCGCCCGTGATGTTAAGGCCCTGCAGCCTCATGCGTATCTGATCCATCCGCGCATTTTTCTCGGCAAAAGGGATGGCTTTTGGAGTTGAGGTATCCGGGGTTTCAACAGTTGACCTAATCGTGGAAGTCATGATCACCTCCCACTCATAGTGCAGGCGGCGAACTGCGGCAGCTGCACCCATAGTCAAAGGCACATTGTTTTTTTACCCCTTGGGCCCATGTATCAATCTCCCTTTCATTGAACGTAGCTCCCGGTCGAAAAACCGCAAATGCCAAAGGACCAACCGTTGTTATGCCTTCCCTCCGTAGCACCTGCAAAAAGGCGGCAGGCACACCATACTCATTTGCCCTAGACTCAAAATGAGCCTCACTGTCCATCAGCCCTGCCATCTTGATCCCAAAAAAACTCCTGTGTCCTGTGAAGTAAAAATTATTCAATGCACAACGCATGAAGCAACGAATGCAAGCAAATTAATGAGTGAGGGGGACAACCTACAGACACCTCAAGCCTTGCACAAGGACATGTACATGCAAACAATCCAAAACCCAAAAAGCCAAACATGGGTTCCAAAATCAAACAACAAGGTCATCCCCTTTCTTTCACCATGTTCATCCAAGAACATGTTCACAACAGCTGGACACACCAGCAACACACATGACTGCGCAAACAGTCACCATGCGGCCGCAAGACCGCAAATTTTTGTCACAGTGGGCAACCACCGGATCACAAAGTGTTTCACACCTAAGCCCAGTGAGCTTGTGCACAGGAAAACAAGGAGCCCCAATGGTCCTTCCGCATTTGAACAACGTCTCATTGCGTCGTTCGTGATTGACCAGAGCCTTTCTGTTGATGTACCACTTCACAGTGGCAGCAGTTGCAGATTGTGAAGCCATCTCGCTCATAGCATCCGGCTCCCATTGCACCTCAACATCACGCTGTAGGACTCAGATCCATAACTGGAGTCACTCGAACTCTCAGCCCAGTCTGCCAAAAGATTGGGTGGCACTGGTTCCATCTGACCACCCTCCTCCAAGTCTTGCTCAGGCCATCCAACGCGCTGCCAAGATTTTGGGGTCTCTGGCAAGGGACTTTCGGGCGTAGGGGCAACACTGGTTGCATCGTGGCCCTCATCAGCCCGGTCTCCCTCCTGCTGGCCCATGGCTGCTGCTGTTGGCAAAGGCGTAGCCGGCATTGGTGTTGCTATGCCAGGCGCCTTTGGTACTGGTACAGGTGTGATCATTCCAGAGCGCGACCGATCAGGAAAAAAGGTCAAGGCTTTGATTGCATCCAGTACTGCAACCAGGCTCCTCAATGCTGCAGTGATGAGGTCCCTCGAGTACAAGGCTGTGGGGCCCTGCGCTGCCGTGCTGTGTCTGGCCAGCACTGCACGATGCTCTGGACTCACATCATGCTTGGCGCACCAAGAAATGCAGGTGGCCTTGCACGAATGGGTAGAAATGCGGCACCCAACCAATGGCACACCACCATCCTGAAGAGCTTCTTCATGAAGCCATTCATTTCCTGGGACGTGAGAAATCTCTTTTGCCAGCCTGTCCCACCTCTCTCTGGTGCAGGCAACATAGGCTCAGGCTCGTCTTTGGCCCAGCATCCTTCTGAAATCCAATTGGCAGGGGCAACCACCGGCAACAGCATGGCCTTGGATCCCTTGTGTACTGCAGCTTCCAATTCCAGAAACACGCATTCATCATCCAACATGCAATTGACAGAGGCCAACAAATCTGAAAACCGTGCACGAGCATAAACCATGTGAAGCAAGTGACCAATCAAGACCCTGTCAACTGTGCTGCGCCTGTCATCCAACATCGCTCTGTTCAGCAACTGGACGTCGGAGACAGGCAAAGGGTCTGCCGGCTTCCAAGGCCTCTTGCAAGCATAGTGTTGAGATGCCAATCCCCTCACCCGAAGACTGGCAAGCACCTCTTCGCAGCCATCAACTCTGAACACAAAGTGGCAAAACCTCAAAGCCTCCGAAAATGATGTTGCTCTTGTTGCAGGTGCTTTCTCCGCTTTCAACTCTTTGAAATAGGTCCAAACCGTCTGCTCGTCCACTGGCAGCCAAGATTTACCATTGCATCTAGTGACCCAGGTATTATATGTCTTGGCCGCATACAACCTCTTCATCACAGTATTGGGGCTCTTGACACCAAGTGAAGCGTCCAGGATCTCAATGCCATTCCTGTAGATGTCGGCAAGCCCTTTCTCTTGCATAGCAATGCGGCCCGGGTCACTGCACAACATGTCCAACCTAAGCAGATCCCACCAAGCTCTGACTGCCAGGTCTCGCTTTGCATCGCGCTCCTCGACGTAGGAGCCCCCAATGACCTGCTTGACCACACTTGAATACAGCGCATCGTCAGACCTAGTTGGTCTTACACCAATTGCTGCAGTGCATTGAAGACCTTGGCGCACCTCAACATCTACTTTCACAAAACTGTTGCTGCTAGCATGCAATCGTGGCATTTTGGATTCCAACCTCCCGCGATCGCCAAAAATTCTTGACATGCGACCCTTCTCCCAAGGATAAAACACAGGTTTCTTGTCAGTCAAACGGATGGCTTCAGAAATGACAGAATCCACATGGGAAAAGGATCCCTCAGGAGTTCTAACGTCGCCGTCAGCATCCACGAAGCTGACACTGCTGTCCCTTGCACCTTCCAGGACAGGGGTGTCAAAAGGCAAACCAAAATCACCGCCAAAAATTGCATCATCAGCTTCGGCCCCAAACAAAAGTTGCATGGCACTGTCATGTTGTAATCCCTCTCCCTGCTCTGCTCCAAAAGGTGACGAAGATTCAAACTCCTCATGAAAAGATTCTTCACCATCCAAATTCACAGGCATTCCAGACGGGGCATCATCAAACATGTCAGTACCACTCCTGGCGCGGCTTCTCCATCTCTTTCGCATTCTCGATGGCAGGCCTGTTAGATCCCTCCAGTGCTGGCGTCGGCTCAGAGATGCTTGCAGCACCGCCAGATCCACTTGCTGCAGAGGCCCTCGCAACAGCCCTGGCCTGCAACTCGTTGGTGATGGTTTTGATGCTTTCCAAGAGGGCTGTATCTGAGTAGGCCGACCAGCAAATACCTGGAGGAGAACCAACACGCCTATCCCCCATAGCTCAAGAGGAAGCCGTATATCTGGGGCAACCCTCCCGCCCACCACTTGGACCGAAAGTTGCCAATGCAGGCGCATTGCCTTCATCTTCATAATGCAACGTGACATGTCACTTCTGCATCACCAAACAAAACAATACATAACATACATAACATAACATAGCATAACATAACATAACATAGCATAACATAACATAACATTACATACATACCATACATAGATTACATAACATACATAACATACACAACATGCACAACATGCCATAACATACAAAAACATGACAAAACATGACAAAACATGACAAAACATGACAAAACATGACAAAACATACATACATACATACATTACATACATACATACATACATACATACATACATACATACATACAAACATACATACATGCATACATGCATACATGCATACATACATACATACATACCATACATAGATTACATAACATACATAACATACACAACATGCACAACATACCATAACATACAAAAACATGACAAAACATACATACATACATTACATACATACATACATACATACATACATACATACATACATACTTACTTACCTACTTACTTACATAACATACATACATACATACATACATACATACATACATACTTACATACATAACATACATACATACCTACATACATACATACATACATACATACCGTACATAGATTACATAACATACATAACATACACAACATGCACAACATACCATAACATACAAAAACATGACAAAACATACATACATACATACATTACATACATACATACATACATACATACATACATACATACATACATACATACATACATACATACATACATAAATACATACATACATACATACATACATTACATACATTACATACATTACATACATTACATACATTACATACATTACATACATACCATACCATACCATACCATACCATACCATTACCATTACCATACCATACCATACCATACCATACATACCATTACATTACATTACATCACATTACATTGCATTACATTATATTGCTTTACATTACATTATTCATTATTCGCTCGTGCGCCTCAACTACTGTGATTTGTTCAAGGCCCTGGTATGGACTCCTCAATTCATTTGCCCGTCCTGTACACCTTCCCTCTCCCTCTCTTCTACCTTTCCCTTGTGCTTCCTTTGCATGCTTCGTTTTTGCTGGGTGTTCTTCTGCCCGCTTCTCCCTTCTTCAATCTTTGGAAGCCCCCGTTACCTTTTACCCCCCACTTTCTGCATGACGGGTGCCGATCTGTTGAATGGTGGCTAGACTGTCGCCAGTTGGCCTTGCTGTAAATCTCCCATTGTCTGAGAGATATACATCATATTGCATAAGACTCTGGTCTGGTTGGTGCGTCTGCCCTGTTTCGGTTTACCCCATAAGTTGGTGTACTTAGGCTCGTGCTCCCGCAGCATCAGTTGCGTGTTTCCGTGTAGTCGTCGCCGCTGTTGCAACACATGGCACCAAAGGCGCTGGCCCTGTGTGGGGATTCGCCCCTCTACACCATGTCGAGCGCAGTGGTGTGGCGATGGTCCTGCATTCGTTGCATCTATGACCTCACCGCCTCCGTCTCCGATGCTGGCTCTTTATCTTTGCTCTCATAGAGACTGGTGGCTTATACCTTAACCATATAACCTACCCCCTCTTCCCAAAGTGTTTCTCGACTGAATTCATTATTGCTATGTCCAGGAGGTCCAGGAGTTCCTTGCATTCGTTAGCCTTGTTGGTGGTGGTTCTATTGGACTGCCTGTTCACTACTAAGATGATCACTAAGGACTATTTGGCAGGAAACTGTGTTTACTGCTAAATCTGCTAAGGTTTCGATCATTGGGCATTTACGGTGCCTTCCTGTCCCTGGATTCGTCAAGCTGGTAGTGTGCCACAATCTTCGAATTGCCCCCCAAATCACCTTAGTTGCGGTATGTGATGTGCTGATGGTTCCTTCTTATTGGACTTGGCCAAGGTCTTCCCATCCCCTTTTGTTTTGTTTGATTACTCAGGTGCCACATTTTCAAATTTGCTCGACGTCGGGGACGGGTGCTGGCTGGTTAGGGTGCTTCTGTATTTTTTTTTCCTCTGGGTTGGCCGATTAAGCTCAATGGCTCGGTCCTGAAGGTGAGAATAAAATAGAAGCAAAAGGAGATGAGCGAATCTCGTGAACTGTACAACTAATGGCGGCAAAGAACAACAACAACAGACCCACCGGCGTTGGGTAGAAATGCATTTCCCCCGGTCAGAAATGCGCAAAAAGAAACAAAACCAAAAGCGAAAAGAAAAGGGGCCGGAGCCCAACGCAACCAACACATCACTACCGCCAATAGCAGTGATGGGAGCAGCCAACGCTCACATCACTGCCAGTAACATCTATCAGCAAAAATTAGATTTAATTAGAAAAGTTTCACAGAGGAAGTGTGCAGGTGACACTACAAGCTGCCTATATACAAAAGCTTAAGCGCCTCTCAGCATCCTCTCAGGTGTTCTTTGGTGAGTCCTCAAAACCAATGTGAGTTAGCGAGCCATGAGCACATTCGTAGACATAGAGGACCCAACATCGCATCAGCACTTCATCAAGGGATGCAGCCCCCGGGCAGGCAAAAGCATCCAATGGCGAGGATTGGCACCCAGATGAACTGCACTAGTCATCACCATATGGGCAAGTCGGATCCGCCGCTTTCGCTGATGTAGCCAACTAGTTTGGACAGCGCCAAAGCGAATTCAACATCCAGGTTTCGTTGCATAAGGATATGTCCCAGAATGAGTCTCCTGACAAACTTCGCATCAAGAGTAGACTGTGACTGAGCTGGTTGAGACTCGGCATGAAGAAATCTGTGCAGTCATTCACCAAGTAAGAAGTCGTCAAAGCTAACTTGCTACAGTCCAGGGCGGAGAGCCGAGCACTGCAGGTGCCCCATCGGATCACGGCACGCGCCGGCTACGGAACCACCCCCAGCCAGCAGCACCCATCCATCCGCAGCAGCTCAACCCGGGAAGTGATTCACATTGAGTGCAACCAGCAGAAGAGACCAAATAACATGCAATGAATGAAAGAGCGAAACAAAGTGAAACAAATTGAAAAGGTTGTCAAACAATAACATGAATGGCAATGACGTTGCTAGATGGGGTTCAGGTCCTGCAGTCGTTGCAATCTTGGAGCAGTCGACCTTTGCGGTGGTCGTCCTTGGTCGGAGCCTCCGCCTTTCTTTTGTTCTTTTTGGACTTGTACAAGTGTACTGAAGTGCCTAGGTGAGACATGCTACTAAACCAGAGGTGATGATAGGGTTTGGGTGCACTATGCAGACCATCTCTGCGCTGGCGCTGTTTTCTCGTTGCTCCTTCAGTAAGCTTCTGAAAACTGTTGCCCCCTGTTAGAAGTGTGGTTACGGCTCACTCCTGGGGCAGTGGGGTGTCAATCGATAACTGCGAGTTTTAATTTTGAGAAAATATTGTTTGTCCTCTTTCAGGTGATGTCGAAGACATAATAATCAGAAGCCGCATGCTGCTGAGCAGCGTGATTGCGATAGTCTTATTTGCGTGCTTAAAATGCAGTTATTGTCGACGGTTCGAAGATCTTTTGGAGGGAATGTTTGAGAAAATCCATGTCTGCCCATTGCTGGTCAATACACCTCTGCAAGGTAGACTGCTGGCCTGGCAAAAAGATGCGGCCAGCGAGGGCAGACACGTCCACTGTGACCAAACGTATATCGACATCCAGTTCTTCTGTAAAGATAATGAAATCGTGACGGCTGATGGACTATGTACAGATCCCACCGGTTCACTTTTGTGATACGTATACATTAATCATTAATTAAATAATTTACCGGTTCTATGCAACATGCAACTGAACGTGTTGAACGACCTGACGAAAGCCAAGAGGCGTTGGACGGAAAAAAAAAATTAAAGGCAACCGACCTCCAGCAGTTCTGCAAGGATAGGCCTTGCCAACGATGGCATACAGCATGCTCTTTAGCATGTGAAGTGGTCAGCTCCTTAGCTTAGGCGAGATTTCGCGAGTGCACACAAAGAGAAGCGACGCATCAGTAGCACAAAGGTCAAGCGTGGGAAATAGCCAGTGCGAGTCATGCAGAGATGGAGCCGCCCCATCCACGCACTCGCCCGGTGGCACAGCACACAAGCGGCCGAGAAGTAATATGGACCCCGCAAACTCTCCAAATCTAGAAGTGGCATCTCCAAGCAAGGTCCGACCAATGGGAAGCCACACGCCTGTCAACCACCAAGTTTTAGACGAGAGCCGGCTGAATCCTCTACTGCTTCGAGCGGGCCACACCCCTCTACTTCTCCTCTCAGTCTAGGCGACCCGATGGCTCAGTTGGTATGGCGTTGGTCTTGCCAGCGCTGACAGACTGCCGGTGGTGGTTCGAATCCCTACTGGTCCACTCGGGAGTCTCAAGTGCGACCCGCCGAAAGGCAACGGGCGCCGACCACAAAAAAAAAAACTCTACTTCTCCTCTCAGTCTGTGCAATGGCACAGTTCTGTGCATCTGGTTATCCATTTTACTACTCCAAAGTCCAGCCCATCTGACTGGTGTCTCCAAAAGTCCAGTCCATCTGACTGGTGTTATTCCGTCCATAAGGAGTACGTTGAATGCGCTCAAGAGGGAGGAGATTTTCAGACTTATGTCTTCTTCGTTCCTTTTTTTTCCGTCCAACGCCTTCATGGCTTCCGCCAGGTCGTTACACACGTTCGA